ACACAATGGGAATCCCTTTGGAATTCAGTTGTTCGCTTTCTAAGTTATCCGATTATCTTATTTGATAAGTTATCTAATTGGAATTCAAATTAAATTAAGTTTGACTTTTATTGAAATTTGAATTTGAGTCAAAATTAGACTGCAGGATAAAGGAGAATTTTTTTTTCCTTCCTTATCCGTAATTTGCACCAACCACATGGGGAAATATCCCTATGGTGGCTAGCCCAATAGGATAAGAGAGAGAGGGGATTTTGTTTCTAAAATAAAATAGGAGTGAGAGAAAATTATCAGGCTTTATCTAGGAGATAAAGTTTCGACTTCTTCTAAGAGTCTCACAGCTACTCTATAAATAGGAGATTGTAGAAAATTGAAGAACACAACTTTTACTCTCCCTAGCATATAGTGGCCCGTTTTATAGAGTGAGGAAAAGGAAAATTTTCTCCCAAATTCTACGCCGTGCATGTGTTGGTGTTTGTCGAAAACTAGAGTGTTTGAGTGCTAATTCTGTTTTGTTTCATGTGTGCCCACACACACATCTTCGTAGATTCAAGGAATTGACGAAGAAAATGCAGGTATTCTAAACAAGCTTGGAGCAAGGAACATTTGTGGTCAGAGAACTCAAGTTATCGACCTAATCGTTCGCTAAATAAATTTATTCATAAATTAATTTGATTAATTTATTCATGCATAAATTAATGTGATCTATAGTGTCTCAAAGATTTATGAAATTTTTTGTTACGCATGATCCGCTAGATACATCTTCCGCATAGAAAATCGTTTTCAAAACCAACACTTTTCAACCTCCATTGCAACAATTTAAAACCTTTAAGATTGTTGGAGAAATTGAGTGTAGAAGTGGAAAAGAATGCAGAAAAAAAGAGGACTTAAGGCGTATAGGAATACTTTCCTTTAGGATTTTATTTGCACTCACTTCTCAAAGTTTACTAATGAGTTTCTATTGCAAATTACCCCAAGATACATCAAATTCTTGAACACAATATCTAGTAGTAATATTGTGTTCCATAATGTGAATGGTCTATAAATTTTCTGGAGATTTAACGAAGACAGATGTGTCATTTCATGAATGAACCATTATCTTCAAGCATTAAAACTATTCACATAGAGGTATCTTTTCATTGTAAAGGTATCTCTTCATGTAGTAAAGTATCTATTACAATATATATGTTTATTGCTAATAGGCATTCAAACATAATGAAAACATATCATTAATGGTTGCAAAGGTTCCAAACAATTCAAATCACACGTCACAAAATTGCACATGTTTTGTACCGGGCGCTGTAGCGGGTCCAAAATGCGCTGCAACGCATTTACTAGGGAGATCGGACGCAAATAGCAGCAACAGAGGCGCTGCAACACGCTATCCGTGCACTGCAGTGGGTTTGGCAGCACATACAACACCATTTAATATGTCTCATCTGCTGCAGCACAATAAACACGCAATGCATTAGGTTTTGCTTTCCAAACTGTTTCCACACGTGTTTTAACAGTCCAAAAAACATGTGACTTAAATTAAAAAAACATATTACAATCTCTCAAACATTTTCTTTTTGTCTGAAATATTTCGAAAATATCTAAAGTAGATAATGCAGAGTTGAAGACAGCTATCTAGTTAGAAGATAGTGCAGAGTTGACAAAGCCGATATACACAGCATTTTATAAAGTGGTGCTAATCACACTTCAATTGGACATCTATACACCTCAAAATTTCAAATCATACCTTTTGTTCCTTGCTTGTTAATTTCATAACCAACTATAAGAACAAAAGCATGCATGTTGTGAATGAAAACGGTAAAAGATTCAGGGCAATTTTACTCAAAGAGCTATATTAATAAAAAATATTTTAATTAAGAATAATAGATAAAAATTCAAAATTATACACTTTAAAATTAAGTCCAACAATTTTCTCTAATAATAAACTACACTTCACAAGTGGTAGGTTTTACATATGGACGTCACATAAGTTTTTCTTTTCTTTTCTTTCTTTTTTTCGCTCTATTTCACCACTTACAATTTGTGGTTTTTTCCCCTTGCAGAAACATTTATAATTATTGTTGCGCAATACTACTTATACTGAATAATTGCTCTATTTGAAGAGAAAAAGTTACGCACCTGTCGAACATCTTCGGCATCCACAATTAATTTTTTCATGAATAAGTATCGGCTCTGTTCTTTTCGCTGATTCGAGTTTAGAATTCGAGTTTTGCTACAATAAAAAAACACTCAGAACAGTCACATCTGATTTTTTTGTTACAGTAAAAAATTCTCACACAACATCACATCTCAACTCGAATTAGCGAACCGAACGGGCAGTGATGTGAGAATTTCTTTAGCATAGAGCAGTATTATATATAACACTGACCAACTCAAGTGTATATGAAGAAATGGATCAGATATTAGGATGTGAAAAAACACATCATTGTTAGGATAAAATTTTAAACCGTCATACTATGTTTTATATAATAAACAGAAAAATTTTGTTAGAAAGGAAAGAAAAGAAAAGAAAATTCTTACAAACAAAAATATATGAACTAATGCTTAAGCAATCTATGAGAAAGTCCTAAGATTTTCTCATTTTAAATCACTTTCCACTATGAGCTTTAAGCTTGTAGGATGTTTTTTTTTTCCTCTCTCTCTCTCTGAAAATTGCAAAAAAAATGAAATTCAAAACTACTTAGGGCCCGTTCGGTTCGTTAATTCGAGTTGAGATGTGATGTTGTGTGAGAGCTTTTTACTGTAGCAAAAAAGTTAGATGTGACTGTTTCTGAGAGCTTTTTACTGTAACAAAACTTAAATTATAAACTCGAATCAACGAAAAGAACGAGGCTTTAATAACTATGGGTTATCATAGACTTGTGATTTGAAGATCATCTACAGGGTTTTTAGCATCATTACTTCCCTGAACTTTTAATTTAGCAGTATACCCCCTGAACTTTTTAAATTATCGCACTATGCACATTTTGCTTAGTTACCATTAAATTGGTGACCGAAAGTCCATGTGTCTCTGAGAACGAAAAATCCCATGTCCGACCAAAAAGTCCCAAATCTAATTCAAGCAAATGCAAATCTTTCAAATTCAAATCCTCATTGATGGGTAGTTAACAAAATCGCACACAATATTGCTAAAATTTAGAAATTCTGGGGGCAAATTTTTAAAATTAGAAGTTTTGGATGCAAATCACCAAAATCCAAAGAATATGGGGGACAACAGTGCTAACGAACCATCATCTACAAGGTCATCCACAAGGTTTCTCCTCGGAGATTTTCGGAAATAAAGAAAAATCCTTGGGGGAAAAAAAAGGATAACAAAGAGATGGAGTACCAAACCAAATTCACGATTCAAGGAAGATCCCTGGGGCCTTGTTTGGAATTAATTTCATTTTTATTTTTTACGTTTTTTGAGAAAAAAATAAAAATATTTTTAAAACGGCCTTTCGGACAATAAAAATAAAAAATAAAAATAAAAATAATTTTTTAATTTAATGTAAAATGAGAGACAAATGAAAAATGACTTTTCGTCATTTTTTATTTTTTATTTTTATTTTCTCTTCTCTCGAGCAGAGAAAGAGAAAGAGAAACATTAATGAGTTTTTTTACATTAAAAATAATCTCTTGATAAAACTACCAAACGTATTTTAAAAAAAAATTTGTCTGAGATTGAAAACGTTTTTATTTTTATTTTCATACAAAAAATAAAATTATTTTAGAACGAATTCTAAACGCGCCCTCAGTATCATCTATTTATTTTAAACAGTTCATTGTTATAAATCACTTTTTCAAAATCAAGAAAATTCTTCAGAGCAGCATTGCTAATGACACTTCTGTTAGAAATTATAAATTGGATCCTTTTAGTGAATCATTTCAACTCTATTCAAGAAGAACTTTCAGATCGAAAAAAAAAAGAACTTCTAAGATTGGTATCATCTTAAATGGGCTCCAAATGAGGAGTCAATATATGCTGTAAGGATTAAAGATCTTTGAAATTGAATCATTAATCTTTATCTTTGTGTACCTTTTATTGTAGCGGACTTGTGATATAGACATCAGTATCACTACTTGGAAGTGCTCATTTGTAAATGTTAAATAATATCAAAATTGAAACGGAAATAGTAGAAAATAGGTTAATATGAAAAGCTTAAGAAAGTATATAGGCTAATTTTTAGTTATAGAAATTAATATATCATAACTTGTCAAGTTATGGTTCATAACTAGATAAGTTATGGACAAACTTGTCAAGTTATGGTTCATAGCCAGACAAGTTATGGACAAAAATCGTGAATTATGGACAATAACTTGTCAAGTTATGGTTCATAACCAGACAAGTTATGAACAAAAATAGTAATTTGACATATTTATTAACTTATGTAAACTATTAGCCTATTAATTTTAATTCATCTCAAGTTTTAGTATATTTCTATCTTTCTCTCAAATTGAAAACATGACGTGATCCGATAATCTAATAAAATAAGAAATGATATTTATCCCGTAGATAAATTTTCTTTACTCACATAACAATGGATCCCATTTACTAAGGTAACACTTAATAGGACACACCTTACGAGTGGTTTATCGAGATAGTGATGAATAAGAGTGCTCAATAAAATATGACGGTTCAAAAATTCCATTAATTTCTCAAAAAAAAAAAAAAAGGAAAAAAAGAAAGTGTAGTAGATTTTCTTTTGATCTTTTGTATTTCTACGTGAAATTCCCTGTACGTTTTACAACTTCAATAAGCAGTGCATGCAATATTAATTGTAACATTTATTTCCCGTTTAGTTCGCTAATTTGAATTTTTAATTCGAGTTGAGATGTGACTTTATGTGAGAGCTTTTTACTATAATAAAAAAAGTAAAATGTGACTGTTTCTAAGAGCCTTTTACTGTAACAAAACTCGAATTCTAAACTCGAATCGGTGAAATGAACGGAACCTTAGAGCTTCTTAGCAAAAGATATGACAGGGAAATAAAGAAGAGAGGAAACGAAATGGATTTCATTTATATTGAGGTTTATGAATCACGGCTGCAATTTAGCACGTAAAACAAAAGGTTGGTTACAGAATGTGCATACCCTTTTAAACTTTAAGTACTCCAGAAATCTAATTATGGGTTTAGATTATTATTGGTTCAGAATGTGTATATACCCTTTAAACATTTAGAGGGATATCATAAAAATATTGGTTGCTTGAATCAAATACTTACAACCAATATTCCTAGACAGAAAGCTCATTAGATTCTGTGCATCCTCGGAACCAAACTCCACAGACTATTTCGGTAAAGAATCTGTAAACAAAATAATCACCAATATGATTACTCACGAAGCTCTTGATCCTTGCAATCTTCTGCACCAGAATGGTCCGTGGGATTAGTATGATGATCAGTTTTATCTGTGTCGTTTTCCGGAGCAATATCAGTATCACCACATTCAGATGCTGAGCTCTCCTTCTCCGGGCAGTCAAGTTGCACGCATTCAGCAACTTCACTGTTGTAATTTTCCAGATCATGACCACTCCTATTCGACAATGCTAATTCGTCTTTCTTCACAACGTTGAACAGAATCCCATTTTCGGTCCTTTCGGGCTGCAATAGATCACCTTCAGAGACCATGATGCTTGATCCGTTCATGGGAACTCGGCCTCGGAAATCCCTCTGATCAAAGTCCGTGCTTTCTGAACTTCTATCAGAAAGAGTCCCCCTAGGGCTGTGGAAATAATCGTTGTTGCTTGCCATTTGAAGTGCCATTGAGTTGGGACTGATAAGCAAACCTCTGTTCAGCTCCGTATCGATGTCCAAATTTTGGACAAAGTCGATGAACGTATTTGCCGATGTAGTCCTCATCAATGGCCCACCAGATCTCGTCCAAGAATTTAGATCAATGTTCTCAGATTCACTATCACTTCCATCATGTACGCTCCGGTGGGTTCGCGAATTTTTACTTGAAGGTCCACTTGTGGCGGATCCAGTGGCTCCTTGATGGAACGAGGAAGCGGCATCTGCAAGGAGGTCATCGTCGAGAGAGCCAGTTGAATTCTCTCGAGCAATGCAGTTCCAAGAAGGAATCCTTCGAGAAGCGTTGAATCTGACTGTGCTGCTTAGGCCGTGAGAAGAAGCGGCAGCTCTCTCAGCACTCCTTTTGAGTCTCCGCATGTGGTTGAGGATCGCAACACACTCGTCAAGAGCAAGCTCAGTACCACAGTTTGCTTTAATGGCAGAGAGCTTCTCCCAAGTACACCTTCTCCCTTGGTTGGCCGCTTTTTGCAGTTCCAGATAAGATGGGTTTTGTATAATCTTTGAGTACTGATCAAGAAACAAACGGCTAGTTAGTAACTATTGTAAGAGCGTATCTCACGGTATACAAAAAACAAGAAAACACTGTACCATAACAACTGTAACTAGTCAACGAGTAACTCAAATAAAAAGGTGTAAATGATTTGTGTACCTGAGCAAGTGTGGCCGGCATAACAACAGTGACATCGCCCTCCCATTCTTGAGCAAATAGCCTGGCAAGTCCACCCAATGGAAAACCAAGTTCTAGTATCTGATTGAATCTATGTTTCACCTCCATCTCGGCAAGATGTGCGAGCTATGCAGTTATGTAAGTAAATGGATTAGCTTTATCCCAATAAGCATTAGAGAGATCATCAGGCTACAGGATTCATAAGTAAACAAAAAAAGAAATGAAGTACCATAACCAATGTCAACAATTAACAAGCAATTCTAGCTAAATGTTGAAGATAAGAAATAGCTATTTAGGCCTTTTGCCCCCACAGCAGACAATTATGTCATAATCTAAAAAGTACATATAATGAACACCAAAAATAGTCTGAATTAGGAACTATCTGTTGAAAATGTTTAATGATGTTCCGTACCGAATAGTCAGAAATCAACCAGCATTTTTAATGTTCTACTCCAAAAGGAAAACACAAAAAGAATAGTTAGTGCACACGATAGACATCTAGCAAGTAGCACGCAAGCATTGATATGATCCTACTTCAATCGGCTATGAATTTCTTTTTAAACCGATGCCTGGGGAAAATGAATAAAAAAGGAGTGAAAAGCATCTGAACATGACTTTTCATATCAGTATGAAAACAGATAAACTAGAAGCACTCCATAATAACAGGAAAGGTATAAGAAATAAATCTCAAGTTGTAGATGTTACCTTGGCAGCAAAGTTGCCTCCAAGTTCTCTCCAAAATTCCTTTAGCCTCAACAATGGTGCAATATGAGGATTTGCCTGACTCACGATGAAGTGATTGACATTAAACAGCTCCTTCAATTGCATCATAGGTAAGTCTATCTCTAAGCTACCATCCCTCCACCGGCGCACAGGGGTAGACCCTGCCTCTGGACCCAAATTAAACGGAGGTTGATAAGGAACAATCTCTCCGCTTCTGTCCTTTGCCATGAGTTCCTGAGCCTCAAAAAGGCCAGGAAAGGCACAAGAAGCAGTAACTGCACTCCATATAACAACGTGAGGCGAAGTCAAGTAGTTAAGACATCGAGGAGGTTCATGCTTCCTAGGGGAGCAAACTGTTATACCAAGAACTCGGCCTGTCATATCATATGCTTCTTGAAATGTAAGATTACTTGTGAGATGCCTCAACATCATTTGCAAATGCCTGATCTCGTGGACAGCACCGTGCGTCATGACCCTCTTAACGACCGTGAAAATCCCACCCATCTGATCGAAAAACTGCAACGACTGCCAAGAATCCTCGAAGAAACTTTGCAGCTCAGGCCAAGACCTAGTGGCAACAACAGAACACATGATTGATCCCACACTAGAACCAGCAATAATCCGAGGGATAAGCTTGTGTTCCACTAGTGTTTTAACCACACCGACATGAAAAGCACCAAGAGAAGCACCCCCACTCAAGAGCAAGGCAGTTCTTCCAAAAGCATGCCTTGTTTCATGCACGAAAGCGAGCTTCTCTTCCGGTGAAAGTTCTTCCGAATCTGAGTCGCAAACCATTCTCAACTGGATAGAAACCTCGTCAATGTATTCCTTTATGAGCCTGGGAACATGAAGCCTACCCTTGTGCAGCTCAGGGTTGCACATGTTACCTAAATTCCTAACAAGATCAGCACGCATACAAAAGATAATATCTCTCAAAGATCCCTCTTGGCGACGATGGCGAAGCTCATCTAGCTTGTTCCTAACCAGTTCTTCATCATAAAGGTCCGATTCACTCATCTTCGGGGTCTCTTTATCGAGCATCTTGGCGGCATGAGCCCATTCCTCATACGTCAACGCGGTCCTCATCATGTTCCTCCAGAATTTCCTCCGGTAAGCCATTTCTGCCCTCGTCTTCACATTCGTGTATCGTTTAAGCAAAAAGGCGATGATCGTCACCATCGCCAATATCCCTTGCGGGTTTCGGGGATGCAACCATGACAACATGGGTGCCAAAAGCTCCCTAAATCTATAGATGAGGTGCAACAAGGCGTGGAATACTTGGTGCCTCAAATGTGACATGGACTTACAAAACAGAACTCTAAAAGCAATTGTCCGGCCAACTAAGGTTGAAGGTCCAATGGGAAATAGATCAACATTGGCCTCGTTACTAATATCCATTATGTCTTCACTAATAAAAAAAAAAGCTCAATGTAGGAATGGCTGCCAAATTTGATCAGGAATGAGAATACAAAGATCACAAAAGGGTTCTTCTTTAAACGACCTCAACTTAAAGAACTAAGGAAACGTTTGGTTCATGGATTAGAATCATAATATTAAAACTATTTTTCATTTACCTCTATTTTTTGTGAGAGAAAACTGCAGCGAACTATAAACTATGATTCAAATCGGGATACAAATCCCTAACCAAACAACTCCTAAGTAATTCTGTCTATTGCTCAATCAATCCTTCAGATAACGCAAAATAATCTGGGGAAAAGACAAGAAAAATTAAGGAAATTGAATACAATTATATATCATAGGACAGGTAAAACAAAAAAAAAATGATAGATTTTTCCAACCTTCGAAAGTCCAAAATGGTCTGAGATCTTCAAAGGCAAATCCTTTGACCTGACAAATCCCCTAATTGATATCTAAAATCTCCACAACCCCACCAAAAGCGAACACTAACTACCACAGAGCAGAATCAAAATCCTCAAATTTCAACAAAAGCCCCGCTTCCCAAGTGAAATTCGAATCAATAGCCAAATGGGTGTCTGACGAATGATCCAAAACATCAAAGTATGTGCAGAAATGAAAAAACCCAACAATTCTAGCGTTTTATAATATTTTCCCAGAAAACAGAACAAACGGAATGGAAAAGGTAAAGACTTTCTTTTGTTTGGTTTTATTTATTATTGTTGAAGCCAATTGGATAATATAAAAATAATAAATAATAAAAAATAATGAATTGGGTTTTCTCAGAAACATTGGGAAACGTGAGATAGATAAAGATTAGGATACGGTGACGTTGATTTGAATAGGCAAAGAGGCGGCGAAGATTAGGATGGACTTATTGAAGAATTTGCGTCATAATTTAAATTATAATTTATAATTTATTATAATATTTTTTTATAAAAAAATAAAAATTAATAAAAATTAATTTTAATTTATAATTTTAAATCTATAAATGAAACCTCCACTTAACAAGAGGGATGAATATGATGTTGATAGCAAAATGAGGATAAGGCATACACTTGTCACGCTAGCTGACAAATTATTTATAGGTGGAAATTGGAATACGATTTTCTATTTTAAGTACTTCAAAAAAAAAAACTTTCTATTTTGAAAAGAGCAAAAAAAAAAAAAAAAAAAAAAAAAAAAAAAAAAAAAAAAAAAAAAAAAAAAAAAAAAAAAAAGACATAAAAGTACGGCAAATTCTCACTTTTTCTTTTTCTTTTTTTTAACATAATAAACTAAAGAATTCTGTGATTGGTTTTGAAAAATATTTTATAAGTTTAAGTTTGAGAGTCTGTTTGGATCATATATTCAGATTGATAATTTTAATTTATTAACGAAAATTTTATGAGAAAATATTTTTAATTTTTTATGAGATAAAAAGACTATAATAGAATTCAAATTGTGATTCAAATATACTTACTAAATAAGTCCTAAATAGTTAAATATTTTGATAGAGTAATTATATTTACACCCATCAAATTTATTAATGCCCACCAATTCATAATTTATATTTATTATAATTTTACCTTGCATTAAAATTACATTATAACCACCTCAAAAAAAAAAAAATATTACATTATAACCTATTAACATACCCCACATTAATTATAAATGGACATAATATTTTTTTAAAAAAATTAAAGAGCCTACACCTAGATTAACTATAATTAGAAAGTATTTTCAAAGGAATAAAAATACATACTCCACTTTTTGTTTTATTATAAACTAAAATCAACTTGAAAATAAAAAACGAAGAATAAATCTTTATTAGTTTTGCCTATTAATAATATAAATTAGCCAAAACAATTAAATGAGTAGTTTTGTGAGGATCAAACCCGGAGAGTTGTTATTGTACTTTCTTGTTCAAAGAAAAATAAGGAGGAGGAAGAGGCAAGACGAGGATAATTGATAACTAAACGTAAAGAGAATTGTATTGATTTTAAAAATTATATATAATGTTAATAGTTAAAAGAGATTATATTATAATCTAATTAATACTAAAATTATGTGGGGTTATGAAATGGTTGAATTAGATATTATGAAAATAAAATCTATAAAAGGATAATTTTTTCAAATCTTTATCATATAAATATTAATTAGTTGAGGTATCTATAAATTTTTAGGTACAAATATTACTAATAATGTCTTTAATCTTATAACAATTTGTAAGTGAAAAAAAAAAAAAAAAAAAAAAACCCCAACAAAAGGACCTTCATTCCGAGTGAAAAGAACTTGGAAGGTTGAGATTAATAAAAGAAGAAGGGAGTTTCTGCGATGGATATGACATGAAAATAATGGAAGGGTCTTTACATAATTCCCAAGCAATTAATTGTGCGAACGAAAACGCTTATGGTTGCTTACAAGGAAATACCACATGGCGTAAATGATGGCAAACAAATTACAAAATAGAAAACTAGTTGGACTGCTTAAAACCCTCGTTAGTTGGCCACGAAACGATTACATAATCAATCTTTTTTTTCGTGACCCGCAAGAACTTATTAACTTTCATCCAATCAAACGTGTTACCTCGAGTGGGAAAGTGTTTTTTTTTTCTTTTTTTTCTCCTGTCTCTCACTATTTTTCTGCGTAAAAGGTTATAGTAATCGTTAAATAATTAGCACAATTCTTTTGTATTAAGTCATAACAGTTGTTATTTTAAAAATCTTAAGTCATTTTAAGCATATGGCAAATAAAACACTGTCATATATTGCTCCAAACAAATGTTTATGTATGACTAGATGTATCTATCAAAAAAAGAACATAGCAGATGTAATTCTTCACGAAAAAATTACTTAGGTTTAAAACACCAGTCAGTTATGATGGAATAACTGATATTAATAGTAAAAATGACAGTCGTTAATTGATGTATTTTTTAACATTTTTCATATAATTATTCAATAGTAGTTTATTGTTATATATTTAAAAACGATTTTTAGTTTATAAAATAGTAACTGATTATGCTAGGTTTTCAGCTGGTTACGATTGGCATATGGGCCCATTACAATGGCACCTGGAGAACTTGTCCCCCATTTTCAAACTGGGGGACTATAAACAACTCATTTTTTTTAGAGTTTATCCGGTATTAAAAACTGTCTATTTTGTTTATTTTCTTAATCTTATGTGATTTTGGCTAAATTTAGCAGTCAAAAAGTAACCCTAGCAGGAACATACCGGAGAAGGTGCTTTTTTTTTAATAAAAAGAAAATAATATTTTTATTACAATAATAAAATTCTATTCTATTTTTATATAAAAATAAATTTTACAAAACAAACCACAAGAAAGAAAAAAGAAAGACTGGCCCTTGTTAATATTTCTAATGAGATTTTGACACAGTTGAACCTTTAAGTTTTTATTATTTTAACTGTCATATTTTCTTTAATCTAATATAATATTATATAATCTCTTTGAATAATTTTAATGTGATTATACGGTTTAATATTGTATCCCGTTAGTATTCCAAAATGGAAATGATGTAAGCTACGATCTATAGAGTTTGCATTCATTATTGCTTCAACATAAAAATTGAGTCATTAAAAAAGAAAAAAGAAAAAGAGCATAACCACTACTTTGACTTTATATTAACTATGGACATTTTCTTTTTTTAGAACCCTTTACGGTACGTAAATGTATTGATAAGTTAAATCTTTTTAACCGACTTTTTAAAAGAAAATCTCCCTTTTTTTTTTTTCCTTTTTTACTTTTTTTAAATGTATTTTTTTTACTTTTATCTTTTTCACTGTAAAGACGTGAAGGTTCGGACCATTCCTCTTGGATGCAAAGAATGGAGTAGTGAAACCGTCTCTGTTGAGAAGTCACTTCACATGAAGTTTGATTTCTTTGCAATAATCTCTTGTATTGAGAGAGGATAATTACCGGTCCATTTAAAAAGTATATTCAAAACATAATTTTTTATTATGACGTTTGAAATTTAAATTTTTTTATAAGAAAAAATATCACAACAGAATTAATGATTTGAATTTAAGGCCTCGTTCATTTCACCGATTCGAGTTTTCAGTTTTAAGTTTTTATAATAAAAAGATCTCATAAAATATCACATCTAACTTTTTCTGCTACAGTAAAAAGCTCTCAGAAAATATCACATCTCAACTCGAATTAAAAACTCGAATCCGCGAAGTGAACGAGGTATATAAAATAAATAGGTCTTACGATATTGACGCTAAAGTTTTAAGTTCTCTTTCTATTCAAAAGACTTGTTCATCAATTTATTCGCGTTAGTTTAACTTAAGAAGGTGTTTGGTATGAGAATTCGTGTTATGGTTCGAATTATGGTTCGTAGTTTGGTACAATATTTTCTCTCATAAAAAACACACACAAACCGATAATGGTTTTGAATACGTGAACTAAACGTATACTAAGGGCCCGTTTAATTTGCTGATTCGAGTTTTTAATTCGAGTTTAAATATGACTTTATGTGAGAGTTTTTTACTGTAATAAAAAAGTTAAATATTGCTGTTTCTGAGAGATTTTTACTGTAACAAAACTCAAATCGGTGAAATGAACGGAGCCTTAAAAGTTCAAAGCTGAAAACTTCTCAATGCCAGGGTACAACTCCATTTCCATCTCAGGAAAAAGTTCCATGTACTATCCATGATGTCTTTCATCTGGTGTATGCATTGCCTCAGCATATCAATTCTCGTATTTCGAACTAATCATGTAAAATTACAAACATATCCATTTGGTATACAATTTGTGAAACCCTTTTTTCTGAATAAGTGCGCTTTGACAGTAACTAAGGGATGTCGAAGATTGAGTTGGAAGAGCAGAGAGGATCTCTCTCAGCTCGATGGCTTCTGCATATTGAAGCAAAGTCGACAAGGGCATCTGACATTACCATTCTCATTCACATGATGTTTTGCAATATCTATGAATGCTGACAAATTAATCCAATATGCATTAAAAATACAATTATTTAAATTTATCTAACTCTTGTCAATCGACATCTTAAAGTAGTCTACTGAAAAAATAAACATGTACAAATAGATAGTGCAAATGTATGCATAAAAATATATTATCCACATCCAGTCCTCATCTACAAGGTAAGGCCCTGTCCCATTCAGAATTGTAATTTACGCATTTATTCACTCCATAACACTCATTTCTTACAGAAATTTCGGCAGCATCTCCCATCAGTTCTCCTAACTGTGCTTTCCAACGTCGTACAACCGGAGAACGGAGGAAGACGGCTGAAACCTCTACTACAAGGTGTGAGTGGAAATGAATAACGAACACGTAAAATTGCAATCCCAAATTGTCCAAACGGGACAATTCAAGAATTAGTGAGCCACTCAAATAGGTCTAAGGTTAATTTAAAAATACAAATACAATATGATAATAAATTAACTCGTAGGCACCTAAAATTCTTAGCAACAATGTACTGCAGTTTTAGTAGTACGTTCAACGCCCACTTGAAAGAATTTCAATAGAAATAAATCTAACACATTTTCATAAACATTATCAAGTTTTATCAATTTATTTTATCAAGTTTTATCAATTTTTACTCGATGTTAGGTGATTATCAATAGAACGGTAATTAAATTTTATTCTTTCTTCATAATGTCTTATTACTAATTAACAATTACAAAATAATTAATAATTAATAATTATATATTTATCGTTTACTATCCTTAAAGTAATATTTTTTAATTTCTTTA